TTGGTGTGAGACGGGACAGCCACAGCTCTCTCTTCTGGGTTCTCACCCATCGATGGAGGGACACTTGCCTGCTGCTCTGCTTATGAGACACTGCCGTGTGCATATATGATTTTCAGAATGGCTTTAAATCCCGTTTAAAATGGGGCGGGTGGGTGGAAATGACAGTGTCCATGCCTTCCTTTCTCAACTAATGTATGTTCTGATAAGTCGTGGTTTTAGGCTGCTGGAACCTTGGATTAAATACTCCCTTTTTCTAAGCTCAGATCAGAGAGTGAGCTCCTTCGGGTTATAGCCTTTTCTTCTGTTACATTAAAAGTGATCTTTCTCTTTCCCCTCCTAGCGGGTGTCCTTGAGCGCCAGTCCATAGCTAGCGCGAAGGCAGGGGGGCGAAGCTGGTAGAGCACTTTGGAGTCCCGCTGCCTTTGTTTGAGCACATCACCTGTGCTTACCGGCCAGTTTGCTTAGCACACAGCCCCTCATTCTCCCATTTGCCTCATTCGCAACGTGGCCATGATAACAGGACATACCTCAGAGGTGTCCTAGGGATCAAATGAGTTAATGTTTGTAGAGCACTTAGAACAGTATCTGGCACATACTAAGCACTGAGTGCGTGACGAATGAAGGTTGTCAACAGTGAGAGTTCAGCCATGAGCAGTGGTGATTGTTGCTAAAAATGAAATAAAATGTAGGCACTTTTTTTTTGTATAAATTGGAGGTTGAATTTTATTCCCAAAGTAAATCTCGATGTCACCTTGACTTGTATTCCGTATATATTTTTTGAAAAGTTAATAAGATACCTAAAATTGTGTGCTGGGCATTATGCTGAGTGTTTTCTTTGTAAAGAGAGCCTTATTTAGCTCTCCCAGCAGTACTGTGAAGGTAGGCAATATTGTGCCCCCCTGTTACAGAAGAGGAAACTAGCTGACCTAAAGATGGTAGGTAGCTTTCCCAGGTCATGCAGCCAGTAAATGGTGTGCTGAGAGGCGCACCCCAGCATGTTGACTGCAGATCCCCGCCCAGAACCTTCTACTCCTCTTGTATGGAAACAAAGGGGAGTGAGAGTGCTGAAAATGTTAGGGAATACTCTGCCTGTTTTTCTCTTGACCACTCAGTTATGATGGGACACCCTCAGAAGGATCCACCATCTGTGGGAAAGGTCATGAAGGACTAATGTAGGGTCGGTCAGTGATCATTGCTAGTTTACTATGAGAAGGCATGCTTCATGATTGCGATGTTCATGTGCACTTAAATATAATAATACAAACTTGTATACCACCTCCACTGTTTCAAAGGCTGTTATGAGATGAATTGAGTTCTTCCATGAGAAGTATTCTGTACAGGGTCCCACACACGGCAAGTGCTCAAAAAGTGTTAGCTGCGATTACTGTTACTGTCATTGTGGTTGGGACTTGATCCTCAGAGGGGCGCTTCACGAGTCTCCCGAGTTTTCTGAGTTCTGAGAGGTTAAATGACGTATCTGCAGACACAGGACTGGTTCGTGTGTTTTGCCCCCAGTCCAGCTGCTTCTAGCCTTGATGGCGTCGTTCTGCCAGCCGCACCATCTTCCGTCCCCCCCCACCCACCCCGTTGCCAGAGAAACCTCCCGGGCCCTGCTTAGCCTCAGAGCCACAGGTTGCTTTATCCCCTGGAAGTAAGTTCTGCGGTGGATTCTCCAAGTGACTTCGGAACACCCAGGCCTTCCCGAGGGGATTCAGTCTCAAATGTGATCTGAGCTGTAAACAGATACCTTCACAAAAAAGATGCTGTTCACTGGAGGAGAGTAAACAGACTCTGAAAGACCTGTTTTTATATTCATTAATGTGAAAGACCATTAATGTGTAACCATGAAATTACACTTGAAAGAAGCTGCATATTCAAGTTAAATTCACAGTTTCCCTACTTTGAAAAACAGTTTTCTTGGATATAAAATGATGAGACAGACTTTGAAACTGAAAAACTGCTGCTTTGCCTCAGGTATTTTTGCTTGAAAACTGATACTTTCATGAATATTTAATTTTTAAAAACTTGGACAAGATGATTGCTATTTCAGTTGGTGTTCTGGTCCTTACGAAAGTGATGCAGTTTTGGTTTTTAGAGAAAGTGTAACATTTTTCCATCAGTGAAAATTACTCTTTATGACTTCAATTTCTACTTTTGCATTGTTTAAATCTCTTGTAAAACTAATGGCAAAATTCCAAAGATGCTTCCTTTTGCTTTTTTTTTTTATTATCACCTCCAGTCTGGTAAAGGCCTCACACATTCATTATTTCAAGAGCAGATGTGTTGCAGGAATTTTCACAAAGCCTGCTGTCTGGTGGTTTTGTAAGGATGGTTTAGTGAGTTAAAATGGCTAAATGTTTCAGGTTATAATGATAAGTGCTTTTAAAAGAGCCTCATCAATAGACCATGTAAATAGTGAATCTGAATTGGGACTTAGTCATGATTTTGTTATGTTATGATTTTGATGCATAATTGTTGACATACAGTTTGGAGGGTCTCTTGATTCCTCAGCTACAGAGTTATAATGTCACTAAAGAAAATTTGTGAATAAAAAATTAAGTGAGCTATTGGGAAAATAATCACCAGTACTTATCTGATAGATTACAATGACAGAAAGAATAATGGCTAAAATGTACCAAGGGCTTCCTCTGCTGCAGACACTGGGCTGAGTCTCTGTTACACAATTGAATTTCATCTCCATTTTATGCTACAGGAGAAACCAGGTTTTGCTAAAAGCATCTAGGAAATTGCAGAGCTAGGATCTAGATGTCGAGCTGCCTGACTCCCAGCCCAGGTTCTGATCCATTTTCTGTAGCTTCTACACCAACACATTCTGTCCTATAAGCTAAGCCACCATACCTCATATTTTCAACGTCTTACTAGACGCCATGACTCCATGAAGAGGGGAAACCTGCATTAGGTCCATTTTATAGGCAAAGAAACTGATGCTTAGGTGATCAGTAACTATTCCAAGCCTATACACTTAGCACACGAGAGACTTGTCCTTGTCCTTCTGGAGACCTTATGTATGTCATAAATGAAGGATTTTTTTTTTTTTTTTTTTTTTTTACTGTGCTCGTTTCATGCTCTTTTGGGACTGTGTGAAACACCTTGAAATTTTATTTTTTTATTTTTTTATTATTTTTTAAAGATTTTATTTATTTATTTGAGAGAGAGAGAATGAGAGACAGAGAGCACGAGAGGGAAGAGGGCAGAGGGGGAAGCAGACCCCCCGCTGAGCAGGGAGCCCGATGTGGGACTCGATCCAGGGACTCCAGGATCATGACCTGAGCCGAAGGCAGACGCTTCACCGACTGAGCCACCCAGGCGCCCCACCTTGAAATTTTATTAGAAAACATTGTCATATGATTTAAACTTGCTATGTTTATCATGTTGGTCCTGTGATGACTCAGAATTCCTTAAATGACTTTTTCCTCTCCCTTCAAACAAAATCTTAGCAGTACCACTGCAGAATACCAGTGTGAAATATCATAAAGCAGGTTATTCCAGCCAAGAATCCGAGGTGAGGCCAGCTTTAAATTGTTGAGGCACATTAAAGTCAAATCAGTGGTGAGAATGCTGACAGCTCCTCCTCAGAAAAGATGTCTCTGTGGCACATTTAAAAATCATATCCCCCAGTGAAGATGATTAAGAACTTGGACATATTCGTATCTGTGGCCACAGAGGAGAAAAAGGGATCATTTTCATCACAGGTCAGTGCTGAGCACACTGAACTCCTTTGAATAACTGTCCCTTTCTTAATTCGTCCAAGGATTCTTAATTTATTTTGCTTATTATCAGAAGCGTCTCCCCCCTTGAGGAAACATAAAATTTATTAAGAGAATTGTAACTTAAAATATTCAGAGCACTCCTGGCATCTTTACTTAAATGGATGCAAGAAATTTTACTGCAAGAAAGTATATATTGATCCCTGTAGCTGACTTGTCATGTTTAGTATTTTTCTCTTTGCACAAGAAGAATAGCTTCTGTAATGTGAATTTAAATGATACATCAAGCTAATAAATGTGGTTGGCCTAGCAAGTGATAAGCATAACTAACTCAATTTAAATGTCTTTTATATAAAAATAATGAACCAGTGCATTAAAGATTAAAAATATTAATGCAATTAGCAAAAATTAGCATTCAATAAAGAAGTGTGTTTCAGTTTTGAGATGGATGATACATCATTCAATGACCAGATAAGGACTAAATTCAGGTACACTTTATTCAGCTGGCGTGTATGTTAAAAACCAAATAAATAAAAATTAAATGCTTTATTTGCCCCTTTGCAACGACGTGGGTGGAACTAGAGGGTATTATGCTAAGCGAAATAAGTCAGTCAGAGAAAGACAATTATCATATATAATCTCACTCGTATGTGGAATTTAAGAAACAAAACAGGATCATAGGGGAAGGGAGGAAAAAGTAAAACAAGACAAAACCCGAGAGGGAGACACCATAAGAGACTCTTAATCATAGGGAACAAACTGAGGGTTGCTGGAGGGGAGGGGTTACAGGAATGGGGTAACTGGGTGATAGACATTTAGGAGGGCACGTGATGTAATGAGCACTGGGTATTATATAAGACTGATGAATCACTGACCTCTACCTAGACATGAAACCAGTAATACATTATATGTTAAGTAATTGAATTTAAATTAAAAAAAGTAAATGCTTTATTTGAAGAAACTTTGATAAAACAGTATGTGGCATGTAAACAAAAGGACACGCAGGTCCTTGGGGACTGTGCCAGAAACCAGGGCATGAGGTGACTTAAAACATATTGTCACCTGCCTCCTTGTGGGGGAGGTAGAGGGGATGTAGCAGGTGTGACAGTGAACGTGGGACTGGAGGGGAAATGAATTTTCCTGGCTTCACTGCTAAATAAAGTGAGCATTTTTGGTTTGGGGACGCTGACTTTAAAACAGTGGAGTATACAGTGGTGTCGCTATTTGCCTTAATGTCGCTGTGGCGTCTTGTCACTCTATGCTCATCTGCAGGTGGATGGCAAGCATTCCGATGAGGCAGCCTTGATCCTCCACAGGAAGGGGTTTGACTGCCGCTTCTCGAGCAGAGACACGGGGCTGCTTTGTTCCACAACCCAGGGAAAGGTGAGCTGAAAAGTGGTTTTTGCTTGTTGATTTCATGTGCTTTGAAATCCTTGCTTTCTGCTAATCATTCTGACAATAAGATAACGTTTCATTGCCTCTTCGTGGACTCATTCCCCTCAGCTGCTGTAATTTAGCTCAAGTCTCTCCATCTTAAGAAAGCACTTTCTCAACCTTCGATCTCTTCTCCTTGTCAGCATCAAAATGCACGTCTGGAACATGGGCACGTGTAGGGGCAACATTCTCCTCCATTCCTAGGCCTTCCGTTGCCAGCCGACAAAACATCCTCTCCCCGCCCCCCATCCCCCAATATTCCCTCCTCTCTCACACATGCTCATGTAGGATCTAGGTCCATGAAGTCTCAGAGGGGCAAAAGCAGGTTTTATAATAACTAAAGGTGGGGTGGGGTGGGGTAGGGAAGTGGTGACACTGGCCAGTCGGCCCCGAAGCAACCTTACTTAGCTCCAGTCAGTTGTTGTCCCAGGGGAAATGAGGGTCTAGATCTCCTGATCAAGACAGATTTGCATAGGAGTCCTCACCGTGCCAGCCAAACAGGTCTTCAGGCTGACCTGCCGGCTGCCCAGTCTTTCTGTCTCCTTTGAGCTGGTCTTTCTGATAGTTCCCTCAGGCTCTCCTTGGAAGGAAATGAACCTCCAGCCTTCTGCCTCTGGCTCTGAGCAGGTTGTGCTCAGAGAAGACAGCTGGATGGCACACAGGCAGGTCTGCCCCACGGGGCAGCTCAGCTGACCCAGCTCTTCTCCAAAACCTCACAGATAACCTGTAGATCAGACTTAAGAGATTCATTTCCAACCCCACCAACTAGAATGTGCATAGGGTCTGAAAAGGAGAGAAAAGACAATATGGTAGGGGGTCAAAATCCACTTAGGCAGATAAGCTTCTTCATTTCTCGTATCATGCCCTCCGTGGAATTGGTGCGAAGAAAGCACTGATGGTTTTGGGTTTGTTTTTCATGATATTTACGCTTTACCTTATTACTGATGATGTGAGTGTACTTGGTTGTAAGCATTTGTATATAGACATTAAGGCGTCAAGTTTTAAGGGGATTATATGGTCCAGAGAGACATGGGATGAGGGTAGTACTTTCTCAGCAACCCCCCAACCCTGAAAATGGGACTCACTGACATGAGGAGCCTGTGTCCTTTCTCTCAGCTCTTTGGGAACAAGAAGAACGACAAATGTTAGGTGTAAATGTTGGGTGTAAGAGGATACGGATGTTTTTAAAGCTTGCTGGCTCATAGATGTGTTTTCTTTTATTGAAAAAGTGGCCCCTGCACGTGATAAGTTCTCAAGAAATTCAGAAGAAGAATGTAGAGTGAGCTGTCCTCTCCTGGTTACACTTCTCCTAGGTGTCCCTCCCAGGGTGGTCTGTGTGTCCAGGCACGCATAGCTGTATCTAATCTCCTTCCTCTTCCTCTTTTTATCATTAAAAGGAAACTTCAAATACACTGTTTTACTCTCCTACTATTTTCCACTGAATAAATATATAGATGTGCTACTAATCTTTCTTCAAAGTTGACCTAACTGTGCAATTTTTTTTATCATTTATTTTCTAGATTTTGGTACAGAAGCTTCTTAGCATGTTTACTGTCGCAAGTCTCATACCTTCATCATTATCCTTGATGCATTCACCTCCAGACGCCCGAAATATAAGTGAGATCAACTTGAGTCCCATGGAAATCAGCACATTCCGAATCCAGTTGAGATGAACCTGGCTTTCAAATTTTGATTGGGAAGCATTGTCTTTTATACACTTCTTGGTTTGACGTGCAATAAGGAAGCACATTATTTTAGCTTCTGGCTACTGTGAGGACATGAATTCTGTGATTGTTATTATTATTATTATTATTATTATTATTATTATTATTATTATTATTATTATTACTAGTACAGAAAGAAAAAAAAAAGCCATGCTATAGCCAGTTTTTCTTTAAGTTCCATCCATGAATCACCACCATCAGTATGAATCGATGCAACAATGAAGGAAGAAATGTCTAAAACAACCTCTCCACAGATTGTATCTCAGGTTAAATGCTAACTAACTATATCTGTGTCGGGAGTTGTGAAGAGATTGTTATAAGTATTCATGTTGCTGATCCTTCATTAGTTTTACAAAAATACCCATTTTTACCAAAATGGAATAAAAAGCTGAAGGGTAATAGCTAATGGCCAAAATGGTTGCAATCGTTCATACGCATTCGAAAAATTTTGTGTATTGAAATATGTGGAAAAGTGCAATCCATCAACCCTTATGATATCTGTACATCATTGATCTTCACACCTTTTTCTAATGTACCACTTGACCCCTCCCTTCTCACTCTTTGTATTTCCAGAAATAGCAGATTTTGAATCATTCAATAGTAGAAAAAGAGGCATATTTTCATTACTTGACAATGTGGGTGGGATAGGTGCAATTTATTCCATTGTCACTAAGATAGAAAAAGCAATCCCATAGGTACCATAACCTCTTTTAGGTACCACAAGGTGTCTTTTTACACAGCTCATTTGAATACAGATGTTCGGAGAAGGGTTTTCTATTTTAAAAATAACCATATCAAAATAAATGTGCCTTATTTTTTTATAAGTCTTGTTAAATCTTTTGGTGTCCATATGACTGAGGAAGGGGGAGAGGGCGGGGGTGGGGAGGAGGTGGGTACTTTCTATGACACGTAAAGTGTTATCGGTTTTGCCTGACAATGCTGGCCACATTCTGATCTGTTTCATTAAATTTGTGGTGATGTTATTCTAAACATTTTGACTATTTGAATGTACTGAGATGTCAGAAAACAAAACAAGGAAGAAAAACTACTGTTCATTAAAATCCGCTGCTGCCAAGAAGATGGCAGCTTGAAGCAAGGATTTTGTGACATGCAAAATCCATACACTGTTTCCATTTCACAGGAGGTAACTCTATGAAAGAATGCTTTAAAAGGGACCCTGTTTTGAAATCCACTTATAGGTAGCTCATCCTGATTTCTTTTATTAAAGAACATGTGTGTTGAGTGAATTCCAAACTTTTGTACGTGCTAACCTCAAAGTGAAGTTCCAAGCCTATGTGCCATTACAGTACTTTTTTTTTTTAATTTTTTTATTCTTATGTTAATCCCCTTACATTACAACATTAGTTTTAGATGAAGTGTTCCATGATTCATTGTTTGTGCACAACACCCAGTGCTCCATGCAGAATGTGCCCTCCTAAATACCCACCACCAGGCTAACCCATCCTCCCACCCCCCTCCCCTCTAGAACCCTGTTTGTTTTTCAGAGTCCATCGTCTCTCATGGTTCGTCTACCCCTCCGATTTCCCCCGCTTCATTCTTCCCCTCCTGCTACCTTCTTCTTCTTTTTTTTTTCTTAACATATATTGCATTATTTGTTTCAGAGGTACAGATCTGAGATTCAACAGTCTTGCACAATTCACAGCGCTTACCAGAGCACATACACTCCCCAGTGTCTATCACCCAGTCACCCCATCCCTCCCACCCCACCCCCCACTCCAACAACACTCAGTTTGTTTCCTGCGATTAAGAATTCCTCATATCAGTGAGATCATATGATACATGTCTTTCTCTGTTTGACTTATTTCACTCAACATAATACCCTCCAGTTCCATCCACGTTGTTGCAAATGGCAATATCTCATTCCTTTTGATGGCTGCATAATATTCCATTGTATAGATATACCACATCTTCTTTATCCATTCATCTGTCGATGGACATCTTGGCTCTTTCCACAGTTTGGCTATTGTGGACATTGCTGCTATAAACATCGGGGTGCACGTACCCCTTCGGATCCCTACTTTTGTATCTTTGGGGTAAATACCCAGTAGTGCAATTGCTGGATCATATGGTAGCTCTATTTTCAACTTTTTGAGGAACCTCCATACAGTTTTCCAGAGTGGCTGCACCAGTTTGCATTCCCACCAACAGTGTAGGAGGGTTCCCCTTTCTCCGCATCCCCGCCAACATCTGTCGTTTCCTGACTTGTTAATTTTAGCCATTCTGACTGGTGTGAGGTGATACCTCATTGAGGTTTTGATTTGGATTTCCCTGATGCCGAGCGATATTGAGCACTTTTTCATGTGTCTGTTGGCCATTTGGATGTCTTCTTTGGAAAAATGTCTGTTCATGTCTTCTGCCCATTTCTTAATTGGATTCTTTGTTCTTTGGGTGTTGAGTTTGATGAGTTCTTTATAGATTTTGGATACTAGCCCTTTATCTGATATGTCATTTGCAAATATCTTCTCCCATTCTGTCGGTTGTCTTTTGGTTTTCTTAACTGTTTCCTTTGCTTTGCAAAAGCTTTTTATCTTGATGAAGTCCCAATAGTTCATTTTTGCCCTTGCTTCCCTTGCCTTTGGCGATGTTTCTAGGAAGAAGTTGCTTCGGCTGAGGTCAAAGAGGTTGTTGCCTGAGTTCTCCTTTAGGATTTTGATGGACTCCTGTCTCACATTGAGGTCTTTCAGCCATTTGGAGTCTATTTTTGTGTGTGGTGTAAGGAAGTGGTCCAGTTTCATTCTTCTGCATGTGTCTATCCAATTTTCCCAACACCATTTGTTGAAGAGACTGTCTTTGTTCCATTGGACATTCTTTCCTGCTTTGTCGAAGATTAGTTGACCATAGAGTTGAGGGTCCATTTCTGGGCTCTCTATTCTGTTCCATTGATCTATGTGTCTGTTTTTGTGCCAGTACCATGCTGTCTTGATGATGACAGCTTTGTAATAGAGCTTGAAGTCCGGAATTGTGATGCCACCGGCTTTGCTTTTCTTTTTCAATATTCCTCTGGCTATGCGGGGTCTTTTCTGGTTCCATACAAATTTTAGGATTATTTGTTCCATTTCTTTGAAAAAAGTGGATGGTATTTTGATGGGGATTGCATTGAATGTGTAGATTGCTCTAGGTAGCATTGACATCTTCACAATATTTGTTCTTCCAATCCATGAGCATGGAACGTTTTTCCATTTCTTTGTGTCTTCCTCAATTTCTTTCATGAGTATTTTATAGTTTTCTGAGTAAAGATCCTTTGTCTCTTTGGTTAGATTTATTCCTAGGTATCTTATGGTTTTGGGTGCAATTGTAAATGGGATCGACTCCTTAATTTCTCTTTCTTCTGTCTTGTTGTTGGTGTATAGGAATGCCACTGACTTCTGTACATTGATTTTATATCCTGCCACTTTACTGAATTCCTGTATGAGTTCTAGCAGTTTTGGGGTGGAGTCTTTTGGGTTTTCCACATAAAGTATCATATCATCTGCAAAGAGTGAGAGTTTGACTTCTTCTTTGCCAATTTGGATGCCTTTGATTTCTTTTTGTTGTCTGATTGCTGTGGCTAGGACTTCCAATACTATGTTGAATAGCAGTGGTGATAGTGGACATCCCTGCCGCGTTCCTGACCTTAGGAGGAAAGCTCTCAGTTTTTCCCCATTGAGAATAATATTTGCTGTAGGTTTTTCATAGATGGCTTTTATGATATTGAGGTATGTACCCTCTATCCCTATACTCTGAAGAGTTTTGATCAAGAAAGGATGCTGTACTTTGTCAAAAGCTTTTTCTGCATCTATTGAGAGGATCATATGATTCTTGTTCTTTCCTTTGTTAATGTACTGTATCACATTGATTGATTTGCGGATGTTGAACCAACCTTGCAGCCCAGGGATAAATCCCACTTGGTCATGGTGAATAATCCTTTTAATGTACTGTTGGATCCTATTGGCTAGTATTTTGGTGAGAATTTTTGCATCCATGTTCATCAGGGATATTGGTCTGTAATTCTCCTTTTTGATGGGGTCTTTGTCTGGTTTGGGGATCAAGGTAATGCTGGCCTCATAAAATGAGTTTGGAAGTTTTCCTTCCGTTTCAATTTTTTGGAACAGTTTCAGAAGAATAGGTATTAATTCTTCTTGAAATGTTTGGTAGAATTCCCCTGGGAAGCCATCTGGCCCTGGGCTTTTGTTTTTTGGGAGATTTTTGATGACTGCTTCAATTTCCTTAGTGGTTATAGGTCTGTTCAGGTTTTCTATTTCATCCTGGTTCAGTTTTGGTAGTTGATACATCTCTAGGAATGAATCCATCTCTTCCAGGTTATCTAATTTGCTGGCATAGAGTTGCTCATAATATGTTCTTATAATTGTTTGTATTTCTTTGGTGTTGGTTGTGATCTCTCCTCTTTCATTCATGATTTTGTTGATTTGGGTCATTTCTCTTCTCTTTTTGATAAGTCTGGCCAGGGGTTTATCAATCTTGTTAATTCTTTCAAAGAACCAGCTCCTAGTTTCGTTGATCTGTTCTACTGTTCTTTTAGTTTCTATTTCATTGATTTCTGCTCTGATCTTTATGATTTCTCTTCTCCTGCTGGGTTTAGGCTTTATTTGCTGTTCTTTCTCCAGCTCCTTTAGGTGTAGGGTTAGGTTGTGTACTTGAGACCTTTCTTGTTTCTTGAGAAAGGCTTGTATTGCTATATACTTTCCTCTTAGGACTGCCTTTGCTGCATCCCAAAGATTTTGAACAGTTGTGTTTTCATTTTCATTGGTTTCCATGTATTTTTTTAATTCTTCTTTAATTTCCTGGTTGACCCATTCATTCTTCAGTAGGATGCTCTTTAGCCTCCATGTATTTGAGTTCTTTCCGACTTTCCTCTTGGGATTGAGTTCTAGTTTCAAAGCATTGTGGTCTGAAAATAGGCAGGGAATGATCCCAATCTTTTGGTACCGGTTGAGACCTGATTTATGACCTAGGATGTGATCGATTCTGGAGAATGTTCCATGGGCACTAGAGAAGAATGTGTATTCCGTTGCTTTGGGGTGGAATGTTCTGAATATGTCTGTGAAGTCCATTTTGTCCAGTGTGTCATTTAAAGTCTTTATTTCCTTGTTGATCTTTTGCTTAGATGATCTGTCCATTTCAGTGAGGGGGATGTTAAAGTCCCCCACTATTATTGTATTGTTGTCGATGTGTTTCTTTGCTTTTGTTATTAATTGCCTTATATAATTGGC